GGAATGGAGAGAGGTAAATAGTGGTGTCCCCCAGGGGGTCTGTACTGGGACCAGGGCTGTTCAACGTATTCATAACTGATTTGGAAAAAGGGGTAAACAGTGAGGTGGCAAAATTTGCAGATGATACAAAACGGGGGCTGGGGGGGTAACTGATGGGGGCTTGGCGGGGGAGGCTCAGAGTAGGACTGGGGCCGACGGGGGGCCAGTGCCACTGGGGGTGGTAGCAGGCCATGGTAGGCAGGAGCTGTGGGGGTATCTCTATATAGAGCTGGGGGGAAGCGCTGGCTGCTGAGCCCAGTTCTGGGGGTGCCCTGCAGCCGGGGGGCAGGTAGAGCATGTTGTGGGGGGCAGGAGGGAGCTCCCGGAAAGGTGCCCACAGCAGTCGGGCGGGTTAGTGTCTCCAGGGGCCAGGGAACAGGTGAGAGTCGGGGTCACAGTTAGAGTCAGGGGTCGCTGTCTGTCAGCCCCCCCCCCAGGGGAGATGTCTGGGAAGGGAGGGAAGGGGGCTGGGGGGGTTTTATGGGGCTGGGGGTCTCTGGGAGGGGGGTCAGTGGGGAAGATTCTCTGGGGGCTGCCCCCATTCCCAGGGGGAGGGGGTGTCTCCAGGGGGATTTGGGGTCCCCGGCTCTGACAGCATCTCTCCCCTGCCAGCTGTTCGTGTTCACGGACGGGGAGGTGGGGAACACCCAGGACGTCATCGCTGAGGTGCAGCGTTACCGGGGGGCCCACAGGTAACAGGGGAACCTGCCCTCCAGCATCCCTCCCACCCTGCCCCCCAGACCTGCCTCCCAGCGACTTCCCACCCTGCCACCTACCGCCCCCCCAACCCTGCTATCACGTGTACCGGCCCGAGCGCGCGGCGGCCCTGCAGGAGGTCTGTGATATGAATATCGGCGAATTGCCCCACTCTGCTAATCAATAGTAACCTGTCACACAGCATCATGCCTGTCCCCCAGCCCTGCCGGCCTGGGGACCGTCTGCCCCACAGCACCCCTCAACCCTGCCCCCAGCCCTACCGCCTGGGGACCCTCTGCCCCACAGCACCCCTCAACCCTGCCACCAGCCCTGCCGGCCTGGAGACCCCCCAGCAACCCCAAACACTGTCCTCCCAGCCCTGCTGGCATGAGCACCTTCAGCAACCCCAAACTCTCTCCCCCCAGCCTGGGGACCCCCAGCACCTCCCATCCCTGCCTCCCATTATCTCCCCAAAGTTGACCCTGCCCTGCCCACCTGGAGACCCCCCAGCAACCCCAAACTCTCTTCCTCCAGCCCTCCCAGCATGGAGAACCTCTGCCCCTATCATTTCCCACCAGCCCTGCCCATCAGCCCTGCCCATCAGCCCAACAGAGAGACCCCAACCCCAGCATCTGCCCATCCCTTCACCTCACCCTTCCCCCCAGCCCTACTGGCCTTCTCCAACTGCCCCCCAGCACTGAATGCCCCCCCCCATCTCTGCCCCTCCCACTCCTGTCTCTGAACCACCACCCCCCAGACTCTGCCCCCCGTGCAGGTGGTTCTCCTTCGGCATCGGGGAAGGGGCCTCCACGGCTCTGGTCAAAGGCATCGCCCGGGCAGCAGGTGGCAGCGCCGAGTTCATCACAGGCCAGGACCGCATGCAGCCCAAGGTGAGAACCCAGGAGTCCGCGCTCCCCCTCCTGCCCTAACCCTGCAGACACCCACTCCCCTCCCAGAGCTGGGAGAGAACCCAGGAGTCCTGGCTCCAAGCCCCCCCACCAGTCCCCACACCCACCCCCAGGCTGGGGATAGGACCCTGATGTCCTGGACCCATCCTGGGTTTGTCGGTCCCTCCCCCAGGCGCTGCAGTCTCTGAAGCGGGCCCTGCAGCTGGCAGTGACTGGGATCTCGCTGAGCTGGGATCTGCCCCCCGGGATGGAGGCAGCGCTGCTGGGCCGGGGCCCTGAGGTGATCTTCCCTGGGCAGCGGTGCCTCATCTACGCCCAGCTCCGTGGGCAGCACCAGGTGAGAGAGCAAGGCCCCCCTCCCTCCCCCAGGGTTTGGGATCAGTGACTGCGCCAGGAACCCCCCACCCCTTCCTGGGAGATAACTCTGAAAGAAGCAATGAGAGGTAAAAAGGCATCCTTTAAAAAGTGGAAGTTAAATCCTAGTGAGGAAAATAGGAAGAAGCATAAACTCTGGCCAGTGAAATGTAAAAATATAATTAGAAAGGCCAAAAAAGAATGTGAAGAACAGTTAGCCAAAGATTCAAAAAGTAACAGCAAAAATGTTTTTAAGTTCATCAGAAGCAGGAAGCCTGTTAAACAACCAGTGGGGCCACTGGACGATCGAGATATTAAAGGAGCACTCAAGGACAATAAGGCCATTGCAGAGAAACTAAATGAATTCTCTCCATTGGTCTTCACGGCTGAGGATGTGAGGGAGATTCCCAAACCTGAGCCATTCTTTTTAGATGACAAATCTGAGGAACTGTCCCAAATTGAGGTGTCATTAGAGGAGGTTTTGGAACAAATTGATAAACTAAACATGACTGGAGAATAGCTAATGTGACACCAGTTTTTAAAAATGGATCCAGAGGTGATCCCGGCAGTTACAGGCCAATAAGCCTGACTTCAGTACTGTGCAAACTGGTTGAAATAATAGTAAAGAACAGAATTGTCAGGTGCATAGATGAACAGAATTTGCTGGGGAAGAGTCAACCTGGTGTTTGTAAAGGGAAATCATGCCTCACCAATCTACTCGAATTCTTTGAGGGGGTCAACAAGCATGTGGACAAGGGGGATCCAGTGGCTATAGTGTACTTGGACTTTCAGAAAACCTTTGACAAGGTCCCTCACCAAAGGCTCTTAAGCAAAGTAAGCTGTCAGGGATAAGAGGGAAGGTTCCCTCATGGATCAGTAACTTGTTAAAAGTTAGGAAACAAAAGGTAGGAATAAATGGTGAGTTTTCGGAATGGAGAGAGGTAAATAGTGGTGTCCCCCAGGGGGTCTGTACTGGGACCAGGGCTGTTCAACGTATTCATAACTGATTTGGAAAAAGGGGTAAACAATGAGGTGGCAAAATTTGCAGATGATACAAAACGACTCAAGATAGTTCAGTCCCAGGCAGACTTCGAAGAGCTTCGAAAGGATCTCACAACATAGGCGTGGAGTTATATGGGCCTGTGGTGCCTGTGCTCCACCAATATTCAGGAACATGGGCCCAGGTCCACCAATGTTTGGGCTTATATTTAATCAGAACCGTCCCATCCATAGGATGGACCAGCGCAACCCCTTCAGGGGGACGCGGGGTCCAGGGCAGCCTGGGCGGGTAGCAGGGGCCAGGCACCGGCAGCAGCAAGTGACCCAGCCCCAGCCTGCCCTGCTCCGCCCACCCGCACTCCACCTCTTTCCCCAAGTCCCCGCCCCCACCCTGCTTCTTTCCGGCTCCCTCCCCCGAGTGACGCTGGGAGCCGGCGGGGCAGAGCACAGCGGGGCGGGCGGGGGCAGGATTGCTTGCTGCTGCTGGCGCCAGGCCCCCTGCTAATCCCCCAGTGTTGATAAATACAAAGTAATGCACGTTGGAAAACATAATCCCAACTGTACATATGAAATGATGGGGTCTAAATTAGCTTTAACCACTCAAGAAAGAGACCTTGGAGTCATTGTGGATAGCTCTCTGAAAACATCCACTCAGTGTGCAGCGACAGCAAAAAAGCGAACAGAATGTTGGGAATCATTAGGAAAGGGATAGATAATAAGACAGGAAATATCATATTGCCTCTATATAAATCCATGGTACGCCCACATCTTGAATACTTCGTGCAGAGCTAGTTGCCCCAACTCAAAAAGGATATATTGGAATTGGAAAAGTTTCAGAAAAGGGCAAAAAAAAATGATGAGGGGTATGGAACGGCTGCCAAATGGGGAGAGATTAATAAGACTGGGACTTTTCAGCTTGGAAAAGAGACGACTAAGGGGGGATTGTTGACTCTGAGCTCTAATGATGGCAGTTGGGCTGGGGGGGTTCTCTGCACTAGCCTGGCTGCATTGATCTCAGGGCAGGTCTATGCTATAAATTTACTTTGGCGCAGCTGCGCCACTGTAGTATGTCCGGTAAAGACGCTCTAAGCCAACGGGAGAAGTTCTCCCGCCGGCATGGCCCTGTCTACACAGGAGGGCTAAGGTCTGTGTAACTATGCCGTTCAGGGGTGTGGATTTTTCACACCTCTGAGCGACGTAGTTATACTGCAGCATGTAGTGTAGACGAGATCTCCATGGGGATCGATAACTCTGTCCCCTACCAGTGACCACTGGGTTGGAGGTCTATGTGCTACCCCAGCCCCATTAATCTCAAAGGGGGTCGTTAACTCCTGACTCTACTGATGGCCGTTGGGCTGACTAGGCAGCCCCCTAACTGCTGTGAATTGGGCGTATTTAACCCCTTTGTTCTGTAACCTGGGTCGGGGGGGGGTCCTTGGGCATCTTCTCCCCCCTCACACTCCACCTCTGACCCCCTTTCTCTGCCCGCAGCCCCCAGACACTGCCATGGGGGGCGTCATCCTGCAGTACCGCATCCAGGACCAGACCTACAAGGAGACGCTGCAGTTCCCCCTGCAGCCACAGGATGGAGACAGGTGACAGCAACACTCCTCTGGTCCCCATCCTCCCCAAGCCGCTGGGTCCTGCCCCCCACATCCCCACCCCCGAACAGGACAGAGATGCAATGGGAGCTGCCCCAAGTCACAGAAGGAAGCAGGAGTCCTGGCTCACAGCCTCCCTACTGTGACCACTAGACCCCACTCCCCTCCTATAGCCAGAGACAGAACCCAGGAGTCCTGGCTTCCCTCCCCCCCCCCCAAAAAACACTATCCCACTAGCCCCTACTCCCCTCCCCACGGTGGCAGGAACCCAGGCGTCCAGGGCTCACACCGTGACTCTCTGTCCCCGGCACAGGCTGCCCGTTCACCGGCTGGCAGCCAAGTCGCTGCTCCTGGAGCTGGAGGGGACCATGGACACCGGGTCGGAGGGGGACCGGCGCCGGGCGCTGGAGACCAGCCTGAGCTCGGGGGTCGTCTGCTCCCTCACGGCCTACGTGGGGGTGGACATGGAGCGGAGGCAGCCAGCGCAGGGGCCGCTGGTGAGACAGGACATCCCACTGATAGGTAACCCCGGAGGGGGTCGGGGATCCCGGCATTGGTGGGGAGGGATCAGCATGCGGGGGGGTAGGGGACTCTTGTGGGCGGGGGACCCAACCTAGCACTGTGGGGGGAACCTGGCACTGGGGCGAGGGAAGGGGGAGAGAATTATGGGAAGGATCCCAGAACAGGAGGATCCCAGTGTGAGAGGAGGGACCCAGAAGCATTGGAGGGGGGGCATCATGGTTATGGGCTAACGTCCCTTTGCTCTTCTCCCTGCCCCAGCTCCCGTGGGGCTGAGCTGCCCCCTCCCTGCCCCCCCAGGGCAACCCCAGTGCCCCCATCCCCAGGGCAGGGGGAGAGCGGTGGGTGCTGGCTGGGTGGGATGAGGAGCAGCCCATGGTGCCTGGCCCATCCCAGCCGGGAGAGTGGGGCCTGTGAGATGTACAGACAGACAGATGGACCCAGAATCAGAGACCCAAACAGATGGGGGCAGAGAATCAGACAGTCAGACCCAGCCGACCCCCACATGCAGGGACCAGAGGGGCGGGCGCATCGCTGTCATGAGCAGGCCTGTCTAGTGGGGGCCTCTCGCCCCCCCCCCTGCATCCTGCCCTCATCTATGGGGTGCAGCACCAGCATCCCCTGGGGCTGGATGAGGGGTCCAACCTGGGGGAAAGCTGTAGGGGAGGGGCTAGATGAAGGGGGTTCCAGCTTGGGGGGAAGGGGCTGGGGGGAAATCCTGACTCTGAGAGAGCTTGGGGGAGAGGAGGATGGGGCTGGGTATCGGGGGTCTCAGCTGGGGGGGTATGGGGAGGGGTCCCAATGGTGCATTGGCTCTGGGTGCTGGGAGGGGGAGGGGGGGGATTTCCCTTCCCTCTCTTAGCTTGTCTCTGTCTGCGTGTCTGTCCGTCCCTCTCTGTCCCCCCCAGGCTTCGGGGCCACACCCCACATGCGGAAGATGCGGTGTTTTGTCACCGCGAACTCCAGCGCCCCCATGGCCATGTACTGTTCCGCCTCTGTGCCCATGGCCTGGACCCAAGGGTTCTCCGGTGTGTCCGTGGGCTGTGCCATGGCCTGTGACTTTGACGACAGCTCGGATGTGCCAGGTGAGAACCACCGCCCTCCCCCGGGGCACTCACCCCCAGAGCTCCCCGTGGCTAGTACCAGCTATCTCCTCCCCCGGCGCCGCTCCTCCTGGCTCTCTCGCCATCCCAAAGCTCAGCTGGGGGAGCCCCTGACATGAGGGCAGGAAGTCCTGCATACACGGCGCCCAGCCAGAGACTGTGCCCCAGAAAGGTGAGGGGGGCAGGGGCTGGCAGTCAGGACTCAGGGTGGGGGGAAAACACCAGCATGATGCTTCATCGGGTCAGAGACAGACGTGCCCTGACGGTCCCGGAGCTGGGCAAGTGTTTAACAACTACATAGAAAGTGAAGGAACTTCCTGGGCAAAACACCAGTGTGACGCTGGGGGAGGGGGAATCCGCAGCTGGGTTTTTTAAGTGTCAGGACGCAAATGATCTTGCAACAAAATGAAAAAAAATAAGGATACTCCCAGGCGATAAACTTTGTGAAGCTGGAATTTGGAGGGTGAGTTTGTATCAATGAGCTAAGTGGCGGGGGGGGGGGGGCATCAACTGGGCAGCAGAGGGGGTAATCAGTTGCTTTTTAGTAACAGAAATGTCACTGAGCAGTTTTCTCTGAAATGGGTACACAGCTAAATTCCCAGACAAAAATACCTTGTAAAGCTGGTCCCAGGCTTGGATGTTTGTACGGGTAAGTTCAGGGGCACAGATCGCAGTTGGCACGGTCTGGTTTCTAAACAAAGAAACCCATGAAAGGCAGAAATTTTAAAGTTAAGGCTCCCCTTAAAACCTGAATTTGAAGAGTCTGGAAATACAAACTTGCTATTGCCCAGGTAACCTTAACTCTGCCTCATAACCCTGGCCCAGGGAATGGCTATAATATCGTATAGACTGTGTAACATCCCATCTCCTCTATACCCTTAGACGCGTCTGTGTCTCCCTGGACGTAGGTCAGTATCGCAGCTTGTAGTACAGAATGGTCCCGGGGTCAGATTGTGTTTGAGAAACACCCTGGGGTTGTGAGATTAATGACTGGGACTGAGACATTCAGGGTGCAGAGTAGCAGAGAAAGGATGCCCATGGAGGGGCAGAGTTAAGGTTGTTGGCTGTCCCCCAGCCTGGACCGGCCACGTTGCTGTTCTGTACCCATAACCCTGTACAAGAGCCATCTCCCCATGTCTCTCCCTAGAGCGGGCACCGGAGGAGTTTCCCCTGCTGAGGCTGGTGTCTCTGCAGAATGCCGACGGCTCGTGGGACCTGGACCCCCGGCTGGCCGCTGCGCTGGGGGTGAGCAAGACGGATGCCAGGGTGAGAATACCCAGGAAGGTGAGTGCAGGTGGCAGAGGAGAGGGGAGAGATGGTGGGAGGTGGGGAAGGTGCCATGAGTTGGGCCTGTTCTCTGCTCCTAGATGAGACTGGCCATGACCCAGACTGAGGAGTCGGGGTCTGAGTGCGACTGGATCAAATGACCTCTGAATCTGGAGCCCAGTGGGGGGGATGCGCCCACAGCGGGGAGCTAGGCACCCCTTACAGGGCATTGGAGCATTGGATTGAGGGGTCCCACAGCTGGGGGGGGACATGGGGAGGCCCAGTCTGGGTCCTCTCTGAGGCTGTCTCTCTACCCCCGGACATCCCACCGGGCATCTGGGTAGGGGGTCCACGATGCTAGAATGGGGGGGCTGGGAACCCTCTGAGTCTGGGGAAGGAGCACTGGATTGGGGGTTCCCCAGGGCAGGGGAATGGGGGCAGCGCTGGGAGGGGAGCAGGGGTGTCCCCAGGCTGGAGGGATTGGCAGCATTAGGGGGATGGGGGCAGCGCTCCGGGGAACAGGGGCTGGGCGCTGTCTCAGGCTGTCTCTCTCTTCCCCGCACAGGACGTGGCCCCCGGCGTCTGGGCCACGGTGCTGGCCGTGGTCTGGCTGCACGGCCGGGCCGCAGGGCAGCGCGACGAGTGGGAGCTGCTGGAGGCCAAGGCTGTAGGCTGGGTGCGGGGCCAAGCAGGTGAGACAAGAGTTGGGGGTCGGGGGCAGAACCCAGGTCCTCTACCGGAGAGCCCCTGCCCCATAGCCCAGCCCCGCCCCCCGAGACCCTCTGTCGCACAGCCCAGCCCCCGCCCCCTAGATCTCAGAAGCCCACAGTACCAGTCCTACCCCATGGGACCCCACAGTCCAGCCAACCACAGCCCTTAGATCCTGCACCCCATGGGTCCAAGAGCCCCTTCCCCCCCCCCCCCCCGGCCATCCTAACAGCCAGCCCCCTAGAGGCCTCCAGTCCCAGGACAGACAGGCTCCCAGCCCCCTGCTCCCCGTCCCGTTTCCCCCAGCTCCCCGACGTCAGTCCCCCAGGCTGTGAGCTCTCTGCCCTTTGTTCCCCAGTCTCCTCCTCCCCCTACCCCTGCATTCCCAGGGCTGATGTCTCCCCTGACCGTCTTCTCGTTTCAGGGCCCTGGCTGAGCGAATGCTTGGAAGCCGCCAACACCCTGCTGGGCTGCAGCGTTGGCCCTACTGTCTTCGGGTTCTGAGCCCCCCCCCCTCCCGCCCAATCCCTGTACCCCCCCTCGCAAGCTACCCTGGGCCTCCAGCCCAGCTGAGCCCCCCCCCAAGCTATCCTGGGCCTCCAGCCCCGCTGAGCCCCCCCCCGCCCCCCGGATCCTAAATTAAGAGCAGCCAATTGGTTTGTATAAGTTTAACGAGAACAGTTTAAATTGACCCTGTAACTTACAGCGGAGGAAGGTCGTTGTGCAGACAGGCCCTTGGTGCTGTGGGCGGAGACTCTCTGCCAGCCCCTCGCTGGAATAAAGCAGTTCCCTGGGTTTGTCTGCCTGGCTTTGGCTGGGGTCCTGGGGCACTGCGCTCCCCACAACTGCCCAGGGCACTGTTTTCCCAGCAGGGTCAGGGACCGCCTGCCCTGAACAGGTGGATTAGCTCCCAGCTCCGGCTTTCTGGTGGGGTAGAGCAGCTGGACCCAGACATTGGGGTGTCTGGCTGGGGCCGGGAGGAGCCCCGGGGAGCGGGGAGCATGTGGGGTGCAGGTGGCAGACACGGGGCATGGGCCCAGGGCAGGGTTTAGCAGGACGTTTTAGCTCTGGGCCTGTGCGGGTCCCTCACACCCCCTCACTGGTCTCTGCTCCACCAGGAGAATGAGTAGCCAGGCCTGGAAAATTTGTCCCTGCTTGGCTGCCGTTGGGACACATGATTCCCATTCAGATACCTGGGAACCGGGCGTCCAGCCCCCCCCCCAGCAGCTTGGGAACCCCCGGCCCTGCCTGGAGCGAGGACACAGCAGAGCTGTAATGGGACAGGGAAGCAGCAAACACTTTCCCCCTGCTCACACAGCCCCCCCCACCCCCCACCCCTCCCGCACGCGCTTTGCAAGGCTGCTCCCGTCTATGAGCTGACGCTGACAGTCGTGTGGGCTCCGGCAGCCAAATGTCTTGTGCTGAGCCCCAGCAGCCCCGGTGCCAGGCCCTGCTGCTGCCAGCCCAGGGCATTGAAATTGGAAGGAAGAATTCTAGAGAGAAAAGACTGGGGGAGATTTTCCATGCCCAGGTGGCAGCCGGGTGTCCAGCTCCCCCGGACAGTCTAGAGAGACGCAGGTTGTTATCCTGATGTGTAACAGCGATAAACCCAGGGGAGCTGGTGCCCAGCCCAGGCCTAGGGGTGGGCCAAACCCGCACCTCTGAGCCCAGGAGCTGGGTGCAGGCAGACAGAATCCAGGCTCTTTGTAGGTCGCCAGGCAGAAAGCTCCATGAAGGTGAAGTTCAAGGTGAAGGGTGGTGCTTGTGCCTTTGGGGTATGAAATATCCCATGGCTGGTGCCGGGATCCCCACAGCACATGTTGCACACCCCAGAGACTCCCCGTCCCCGTGACCCTGAAAAGAAATACAAACCCATTCAGCCAGGAAATGCAGAGCATGGTCCCCAGATGCCCTTAACTCTGCCCGGGGCCGGCACAGGATCTTACAATTCTAACAGAGGTGCCCAACTCCCACTTCTGGCTCTGCCGTCCAACGTTCGGGCTTCCACGGCATTTCCCAACCCTGCTCAGCTGCTGCTGAGCCCTGCGAGCTCCTGACTGTTCGCTGCCAGGGTCCCTACAGCCCTGCCCATGACCCCAGGCCCTGCACCTCCGGCGGGTGCCCAGGCTCTCCGCCCCAGGGGAGGCTCCAAGCAGCTGTCACAAGGCCGGATCCACTGCCTGTGCTCTGAGCTCCAGCTGGCTCCTTATGGCTTTTACCCCAGAGCTTAGAGCAGTCGCCCCAGTTCAGCTCCCCCGCGCCGGATGGAGAGAGAGGCCAGGAGCGTGGGTCTCTCACTGGGCTGCAGCACCCGAACCCAGAGCTCCAGGGGAGGCTCCAGCTGGAGCTGTTCTTCTCTGGATCAATAACTCACTAGTCGGGGGAGCCGGGGATCCTGCTCTTTGCCCCCCAGGGAGCTCTGCAGCCTCCGGAGTCGCTCGCTCGCTCTCTGGCCCAACAGCTCCCCTTACCCATTCCTCATGGCAGCTCCAGGAGCGACACTCACAGTGTGGTCAGCGTGCTCTCCTGCAGGGGGGAGCCCAGGTTCAAATCCCGTCTCCCGGGCAGGCGGAGGGGGATGGACCTGGGTCTCCCACAGCCAGGTGGGTGAGGAATCATATGGATCTACCCCCTCCTCCCCTGGCTTTCCTGGCATGGCGCCGAACTCCAGGACGGTGTTCCGGCTTCGGGGACTAAATCCCAGTGTTACCAGATTTGCCTGTTACTTTGGGGAACGCTCATTTATTAGTGTTACTTTTTGTGGGGGTAGGAGGTGTTTCTGTAATTATATCAGTGTTCTGCTTGTGTCACTTGTGTTTTCATATGGAGCTCTACTTCTCCCTTCTGCCAGTCCCCTGCAGGACCTAGTTTCCCCAGGGCTGGGTTCCTCCAGCCCCAGAACCGGATGAACGAACACACACACATTAACAGAGCAAGTCTGAGTGGACCGGGTCGAGCAGCACTTCCAGGCTGCCACCCTCGTATATCACAGGTTCAGCACATCCCTATCCCCACTTTCACGTCACACTTGTATTGGTAGTAACCCATTTGATGAGCAAACCCCACAGTATTTTGGAGCGCTGCAGGGATCTTTAGCTTAGGTACGAGGAGCGTTGCTGCAGAGTAAAGGGGGAAGCTAAAAACACAAAAGAGTAAAGTTCAGAGAGCTCGGGAGGGAAGCAACCAGCTTAATCATAAAACTTATTTATTGAATAATAGTGATAACTACACAAGGAGCCTAAACCAACATCACAGTTACATTAATAAAGATTACAAAAGTCATATATAGAAAACTAGACCTGGTCAAACAAATCAGGGTTAGAAAGTTACACCTGAGGGAGAAAAGAAAACAGAGAGAGACGGGGAGGGATCTCACCGCTCCATGAGGCTTGAACTGGTCGGGGTTCCCAGGTGATGGTGGTAACTCAGGGTCCTGAGTGCTGGAGACAGGCAGAGCCCCCAGCACGATCAGCCAGGAGAAGATGAAATCCCAGTGGGACTGATGCAGAGTTTGGATCCAGGCATCGGAACACACTTGAGCTTGGGGAGGGGTTTCTTGTAGGGAAACAACAATGGTTCACGGGAGAACACTAGATTTGTTTATGGGTTAACGGATGACTTGGGCTGGGGATTGAGCAGCCCAGGCTGGCTGGGCCCATGGGGCAGAGGAAGGGGGCAGAGCTGGACATGGGGAGCCCAGGCTGGCTGGACCAAGAGGGTGACTCCATCCACCAGGAGACCCTGGTCCTGCTGTTGAAGAGGTTGCACTGGGCTGTTATTTCAACATCTACAGCTTTGGGGCTCAGTTCGAGTCCTTCTACCTGTGAGTCAGAGGGGCAGCGCAGGGAGCGGGCGGGCTGGGATTGGAGTGACCCTGGGTTGGCGGCAGGGCTGGCTGGGGTTGGGGTGTCCCTTGCTCTTACTATCCTGGTCCCTGACCCCTCGGCGCCCCCCACAGGCAGAGTGTGAGATACACCCAACATACCATGGCTGAGTCCCTGCAGCGCGTCCAGCAGCTCCAGGCTGACTTGGGGGGCACCGAGATCTTGGCGCCGCTACGAGCCATTTACAGCAGCCCCTGCCGGGACGGGCACCCACACCCGGGGGCAGCAGCAGGGCATCCCAGGGGCTCGGAGAGGGGCTGGGGGAGCCAAGAGAGGTTGCGGGGGCCACTCAGAAGGGAATGGGGCCAGGGAGGATAAACTCTGAGATTTTCAGGCCAGAAGGAACCATCTTGATCATCTCATCTGGCCCCAGCCCCCCACCCCCCTGTGACAGCTCCAGCCCATGGGGCTGAGTCACCAACGCCCCCAAACCCCGACTTACAGACATCAGGTCCCAGAGCCCCCCTAGTTACTCCAGTTCAAACCAGCAAGTGCCCCGGCTGCCGAGGGGGATGAACCCCCCAGAGTCTCTGCCAATCTGATGCTGGGGGAAATCTGTTCTCCACCCCACATGTGGGGGGTCTGTGAGCCCCAAGCATGGGGGCAAGACCCCCCCAGCCAGCCCCTGGGAAGGATTCTCTGCCCCTCGTCTGGCTTGAG